ACGACTTTCTGTAGCACAAACTAAGTGAGAGCAACAGACAGTACTACGGTTGCCTTCGTTTGTTTATAAGTATTTTCGTCTGATTGTATTCATTCATCTTGTAATCGATAGGGCAGTCAGTTTGAAGAACTGATCAACACCTTAGTAAACGTGTTATTCCGCGGTAAAATTATTTTCCAACATTTCCAGTATTTTATAACTGTTTACCAGTAGTAGGTAATCAACACGAGAGAACTCAAATAACAAATACACGCCAAGAGTAGGAGTAGTCTAAGATTTGTGGTGTTTCACCTCAAAAAGTCTCTGTGTGTTCTAAGCACACAAGGAATTCTGGGAATGAAAATGGGAGCTCCCGTGTATATGATATTATGAATGTCTTTTCTAGGTGCAACACCCTACTTCACAATGTCGTCATCGGAGGTGGAACGCGAAGTTAAGAATGGTGGTCGATTGAATAAACCTGAACATTGCAGCGATAGCTTGTGAGTTCGTAACTTTTTTCATAATTAAAACATAATAATTTTAATATAACCACCAAATTTCCCACCTATATTGTTCAGTCTATGACAGTCAGTGATCTTATTGAATAGGTATTCAATCCTCCGTGAATGCTGGATTGACGAGCCAAAGCTGAGGCCGACAATGAAGAATAGACAGAAAAAGTTACTTCAACTCAGAAGTGCAGAGAATTTTACAGTACGTATCGATATTTATTTATTTATTTATTTATTTAGTTATTTATTTATTTATTTATTTATTTAGTTATTTATTTGTTTGTTTGTTTGTTTGTTTGTTTAGTTATTTAGTTGTTTGTTTGTTTGAAATTTATAAATAGAAGATTAAACTTTCCTGTTTTACTAAAGTTATTGAAATTATATTTTTTAACTAGGAACATATCGAAATGGCTGACTTTAATCCAAATTTGTTTGGTTTGGTTGACAAATCGACGCCTGGAGAAAGGTGTTAGAAATTAAACAAGGTTGAATAGACAACAACTGAAACTGGGTAACATCGCTACGTATTCCATGTTGAGAATGTGTTATTATTCAGTGTTCTTCAATTGTTACATTACATTCTAACACATTTCATTACATTGTATTTACATAAAATTGACATTGCATTACATTACACTGCGTTACGTTACTGACGATTTCTTCACATTGCATCACTCGATAGCACATTACGTTACAGGTGGATTATGCTTGCGAGTATACACACAAATGTATGTTGCTATGCATAGATACACCGACTGGCTCCATGCACAGTAGTATACATAATTAGCATATGACCATACTGCATACCATTCACAGTTGTGTCGTTAGGCGTGAAATATCCTATAATACGATAAACGTCACAATATGTACGTTGAGCGTCATCGTTGTATGTGAGTTCGAATAGTTTGTGGAGGAAAAAGCTCACTGTGCGGCGTATCGTTTTTATTGCAACAATTAATTAAATAGTGAATTGCAACAAATTAACAATAATATCGATTGAAATTTCATTGTGAAAAAAATATTGATATTGAGGTAATATTTGTACCGATTGTCGTTAGCTGTAAAGGACGTAACTGTAAATGCGTTCAACCGACGCACCCAGACGTGATGCTTTATTAGTCTAAATCATCTAAGATGTGTAAACGTAGTCTGTCATGTGATAAAAAGGTTACTACTTTATATCACTAATTCATGGAGCTGGTTGACACCTATGATGCTATGGATGTATTATTCATTCGCCTTCTGTTCATGAATAATTACTCGTACCGGCCAGCTCTACAAACAAATGTTGGTGTTACTTCACAAAAAATCGCTACAAAGTATTTTATTTAGTTGTCTAATTGTATTTTATTAGCGGTTTACATTGTTTATTTAAGTATTTCAACCTATAAAAATGGTTTGAAATTGATTGTCTAAAGAAACACTTTTTGAAAAAATGCTAAAATGTGTCTTTTTGGCACTATTTACAGACTCGATTCCGTGTTAAAGTCCTGTTTAATAAGTAGTATTAATCTGAATTTCTCAATATTGCAAGACAGCAATATGAAACCATATAATCTTGAATTCTTCTCAAAAGAAATTGTGCCTTGGAAGACTTTAGGACAATTCACGGGGAGCAGTTGTCACATTGGGCAGTTGTCCAGGGGCAGTTTTTGAGGGCGGGTGTCCTGTGAGAAATATTGAAAGGGTGCACTTCCACTGATTCATCTATTGAAAAACTGTTATTTTGAAAAAGAAAAAGAGCTGTGAATAAAATAAAACAATCCATCATACTCGTATGATTAAGGCAATACTAATATGTACAATGTTACACATATGAACATTCTGGAAAATAGTTTATAGTTTAATGTTTTTTGAGTGTTCATCTTGAATTTCGTCAAGATTGTCAAGTGTAATTAAGGTTTTAGTCTTGTACTGTGTTTTTATTATAATAATTAATTTTGAATATATTTATCACTCAACTACTATTTTGCTTATCAGGGTACATATTTGCAAATTCTTTTGAAAGAATTTACTGTATGATTTGATGTACGTATTCAGATAAATATTTCAGTTTAGAGTGTCAGGTGTGTGTACAACGTTGTATTTACAGTTATGTGCCTGCATATCCAACTCACAATGCATAAGACGCCGTGTTTTAGGTCAAAATAAGCATGCATTCTGTACCTATATTCTTATATGTAAGGTGCAATACAAACATTGAATATACACATAATAACCTGATTATCAAGAAGCCATGAAATCAAGTATTTATCGGGCGTTCAGAAATACAAATAGACGCCTCAACATGTACTCATTATTTTTACATAATTTACAGATGCTTAAAAGCCAAGTCATTTTTCTGAGTTAATTGTTTGCTACTTTAACAGTATTTCTTTTGTGCAATAATTATTGTATAATACAAATATATAATTTAACATCATTTGAAACTCAATTACACAGTTACTTTAAGTTTAAGTTCTTGTTATATATAAACAAAGAATGATATTATAGAATGTTGCTAAATTTTGTCTGTTTTGGGTTTGTTCTATTTTTGACTTCCGCGTGCGAAGCACATAATGGAAGTCTTTGCAGTTAGTCTGTCTGTATGTGTTTCTGTGTGTCTGTCTGTCCGTTCCACTGATATTTCAAAACCCCCACACGTTGGTTTTTTATGAAACTTGGTGCATAGATGCTCTGGACTAATGCGCAGATTTGAGTAGGTTTTAGTAGAATTCCATGCTTACTAATTACCCAATTTGCATGAAATTTAGCTAATATTTAGCTGCTCTATGATTGTTTCACAGATATTTAAAGAGCCACCCATTGGATTTTGATGAAACTGGGTAAATTGATGCTCTGGACTGATTTGGGGTAAAAGTCTGTGCATATTATTTACCTAATTTGTATAATAAAAGTAATTTTTTTACTTTACTTTTCCATTGATTTCTAATCGTCACATTTCAATGAAACATACTACATAGAAATGATAGAAAAGTGCACTGACCAGATTGGTTTTAGTGTATGTTAAATAACTAATTCGCATAATTGATCAATTTTAAGCTTTCACACTGATATCAATAGTACCGATTATTTCATTTCAATGAAACATGGTACATATATGCTCTAGGAAAATGCACAGACCTGATTAGTTTTAGGTTAAAGTCTGTTCATATTAATCAATATGCGAATATTATGACCAATCTGGATTTTGAAGATTAGGTATTCACTCTATTGATACATAATTCCTATTTTAGGTTAACACAATTTCCAGTTTGCTGATATAATTGTATCTAGGTGACTATTGATTGCACAACTTATATGCTACACTGTCAATTCATTTAGAATTGACAAACAATCTTCGCCACAATATTTCGTAATAGCAATATTGCCAGATAACTTTTGACTTTTTCAAGATCATTGTCGTATCTGATTGGAACTGATTGTAATAAGTCAGTATCAATGGAAGACAAACTATTGCCAAAGAGTATAGAGAATGTATAGAAGATACGCTTTCCTTACAATTTATCCATTAATGTACCTACCAATGGCGTAGCTGTCAACATAATATGCACTGACTCGTGCAGTTAAATGTACGTGTTAGTGGATTTTTTTGTCTTTCTTAGCAGCGTATTAGTGGTTGATATCAGACCATTTATACCCTTGTGCATTTTGCTGCTGAATGGAACTACCTTAAAATGCAACCTGACCTTCTTAGGTCGTTTGAAATCACTATTGGGATATGCTAGAATGCTATCTGTTCTCGGATATCTTGAGCTAATGTTTAAAAATGCTTGATGGGTAATGTTCTTATGCGTAACTTTAATTTACCACAGCGCAAACCCACTACCTCCATATGTATTTGTCCCAGTAATTGAACTGTTAGCAATATCCATTTGTAATAATCCAAACATAGAGTTATCTTGAATTAAAACCTAGAGGCACAGAAAAGTATGACATACGAGATGAATAAATTCTGAATGCCATAATACATAAGCAACCCATCTAAAACTATGCTGTATGTTTGAAACATATTCTGAACGCTACACTGAAGCAGCTCACTTGGATAAGTTTCCTGGCTATTAATATTATGAGTTGAATTTGTTATGAATGAATGACTGTGTCTTGCAGAACAAAACCTACTATTGTGAAAACATTGCCTACATTACATGAGGATTCTACCAATGCCTCCACAAAACCCTGCATAATTTGTTGATATTGATAAATGAAATCTAATCAAAGTACAGCGTAGCAATGAAATAAATTGAATTAAATAATGACAAATTATATTAATACAATTAGTCCTGTTTATAGGCATGACAGACAAATAATATACATATTATAAATAGGATATTTTTAATTGATTGGTATACTTGGGTAATGCAATATTGTTTCAATTGATTTGTTTACGATCAATACATTCATAGGTTCTGAGATGGAATAATATTTAACGAATATGAATTATTATTTAGGATATTATTAACAATTATGTTTTTGACAAGAATGTACATACTCAAGGTTTAGGTGTAATGTGTCATCCTACTCAATCAGAAGTGTTGTCGCGCCTGCATTAGTTAATTTACATACAATTTTGTGTTGCAGTCCCTAATAATTTTGATATTTGAGGGTGTATGTTGACAGAGTGAATTAGTTGAATATATATTGTCAGTAAAAGGAAAATACAGCTACTACCCAGTGAGATTAAAAGTGTCGTGGCATGGGGTCGCCATTAAATTGTCAATGAGACATTAACATCTGTGTGTATTAGTGGAAATCTTTTTCTTTTCAGCAGCGTATTCGTGGTTGATATCAGACCATTTATAGCGTTGCGCATTTTTCTGGTGAATGGTTCTACCTTTAAATGTAACTTGTCCTCTTTAGGTCGTTTGAATTTACCATTAATATCTGCTAGAATGCAATCAGTTCTCGGATATTTTGAACTAATGTTTAAAAATTTAGTAATTCTGTCGATTTCACTGAGTAAATTGTCTTTTATATCCTCATAGTGAATTACCAGTATTGGCATATTACTTTCTAACCAATTGTTCGCAAATTGTTTGTATCCCAGGATCTGTACGTCGACGTATTGTAACCAACCTGCAAACAAGCAAACACATTAGTATAGGTAGTTTTACAAGTTCTCGTAGGTGTACAATCCTAAACCTCAATCACGTGTATAACCTCTCAGCCTCAATTGTTAGGTTTAGAATGGTAGAATTGTCGATTTTACTCACGGGAAATCAATAAAATGCCAATTTTGAATTCAACACTGCTTATTCACTGCTCATTTGCATATAAATCGTTGACTATGGTTTCTTTGTTTTTACTATGGTATGTCCGCTTGGTGTATTGCATAGTGCACTGAATGTACAGCTTTAAATGATTTATACAGTGACTGCACAAACTGGCAGGTGAGTCAACCTTCCACGTGCTGCTAAGATGCGTATACAAGTCATTTCGGTTCTGCTTGTGTGCATAAATCTCCATTCAGATATTTCCTGATATCACCTGAGTACTGGTAGTCGATGCATCATAAGTTCAGTAATAGTATAATAAGAGCGATAACAAACCGGGAAAAAATAATTAAAAAAATAGTACTGATGGATTTATTTGGATTTCAGCCCTCAGGTGAATGTGATACACATTCTGTGTCTCGTAATTTTCTGCAATCTTTAAGATAGTTGGCAACCATTAAAACTCATCACTGGATTTCCTAGACTTTTACCATATGTCTCTATTTTATGCTTTTCTTCAAAAACAAATATGCTGTACTGTACTGATGTCTAAATCAATAATTATGTAACACTTATAAAACAAATAAACGTGATAATTGTTTTGACCTTATTTAATGGGTCGAATACCCGCGAACAACCTTAATACATACACAGTAGCGCCCTCTATGCTTAGAAATCGCACGAGTGTCTTTGCCAAAATAGAGGTTTTACGATAAACAAATAAATACCAATACGAATGGTGTTTTTACAAGTACAAATGACAATTCATAGTAGTGGAATAGAAGTGGTGTTTTCACAAATATATTTGTAGATATTACATATGCGAATGAAAGTTTAACGAGTACGAGTTTTCCGATTACATATGAAAATTGTAAAGAAGTTTGGCAATTTTAAGTACAACTACGAATACAAATAGAGATTTTACAAATGAAGGTTTTGTGAATGTGATTGGAGGTTTTACGAATATAAACATTCAATTTATAATTATAAATTTGAATCTTTGCACGTAAATATTTTCAACGGAAATTGCAATACTCGGCCTTCTATACGTGGCCGTGAGTGGTATGAATAATTGAATATAGTACAAATTTATGTGACGTCTAATATTATTCGAATGGTAAATATTTGAACTTGGCCACTGAATAGTCACTAAATTTGTCACAAAAACAGTTCTCATTTATGTTATCATGCAATTGTTGTCAGTGCATTACTAGCAAATGTCTCAAGTAGATAATGCTACCAGTGTTTCCAAAGGCACATTAGAGGATGATTAAAACAACTTCGATTGATTATTTGTTTAGTTGTATCTGTATACAATTAATGAAATGGATAATAGTGAACACATACCTTTTTATAATTAAAATGCAATTGCTGATATGAAACCTACCTTCTCCAATAAATGATTCCATTGGTGCGCTGCTCGTTTTGTTCGCCTTTTCTCGGTTGAACTCTGCTAGGAAGGAACTGTAGGGGTTTCTAAACAATACTACGGCTTTCTCAAACAAATTTATATGCGTTTTGTCATACTTGTGTGTCTTGACAACAACAGTTCTGCCGTTTGTCATGTTTTCTTTTTCGCCAAGAAAACCTGAAAACATATTCAAAACAATATTTATAACTTATATTTTAACTTTATTTAAGACTTTGTAGAAACCTGTTTTGTTTATTTTGTCAATCGTCCATTCACAGTCTAAAGAGTGAGAGTATATTTGATGCAAATCTTTCAGATAAGTGATGTAATGACGAAATTATAATTTTTTTCCGATGCACGTGAACATTTTTTTTAACTGAGGCGCAATATCAACTGACTGTAGATTGTATTTCTTGTTTAATTACTTTGCTGCATATCCTTAAATATTAACACAATTGACCCAATTAAACATTTTCACGAAATATTAACAGTATAGATGTTACAATTGACGCAATGTTATGTTTCATACTGCTGTTATTTTTTATATATAAAAGTTGATACATTCATTATCTTGCAATTGCTAATTTGATGTTGCTTGTTGAAATCTATGTTGAGATGACAGGATATTAATGCAACATTATCAGTGAATAGAGCATATTCCGTTCACTACGAGATCCCGCGTCATGCGTGAAATCGAATGTAAAAACAGGATACACAAATGTCATAGCATCTTAGTGACGTCAAAAAAATGTAGTTTTGGAGTATTTCCGTGTCGCCTCTAATCTTAGCTATACACATTTAGTGATGTAATACGATCAATTTACAACGCCATGTTTCATCTGACAGCTCTATATTTTGATATTCAACTAGAAAAAAAGAAATACAAGTTCAAAATCAAAGCATTCGATTTTTTCAGTATTATATTTAAATGTCGTAGTGAACAGAAAATCATTTATCATATCGTGTGTTGCCAAGTGAAACAATTTTTGCATGTCGCTATAACTAACGAGAAAACACAGATGAATGAAGGCAGATTGTTCTCACTACTAGCAACCTGGTCCCAATATTTTTGTCTCGAAAATATCCAAATGTTTAGTCAACATATGCAATTTAGTTGGAACACAAATAAGGTACTACTAATTGCAACATAATAAAACCTAAAATAGTAGACAGACCAATATAAGGGGATGACAGTAACGCCTCCTCGCGTCTATTCGGGTGGTACTAAAACTGTAGCTGTTCAAATATTAAAATTAATTACCGTTGTGGAACAAAATCGGACTATTATAAACACTCCCAGTGTATATTCCAGTGGCCAATTCAAGTAAATGTCTCATCCACGTGTTGCCACAACCAGGTCGACTAGCCAACGCTACAATGGGTAAACTGTTTACTGGAGCAAAACGTACATCGCACCCAATCTCTGAAATTACAAGCAAAGTACGTAATGTATCTGTGTTGCTGTGTGCATTGCCTCTCATGGCGTGTATCTGTATGAATGGTTGTTATTATTCCATTACAAGTTAGCACTATATACTTCAACTGCGTAACGAACTTGGTAATTGTGCTGCTATCCACGACAAAGCCGTAACAGAGCGATACTTACCCAGCATCTTGTATTTTTTTCGCCAATAATTCACGAGCGGCAAATAAAGAAGGGACTGTTTTTTTTGTGATTTCTAGTGAATCCCTAATTAGCGCTCTACGTTATGCGTTCTGCTCCTTATGATTTCAGTGGAACGATTATTTAGACATTACTATCAGATTTCTTGTTTCCTTCTTTGAAATCTGCCGTGCTTATGACCGTCGTCAGTATTTTTATTGCGTTCTTGTCAGAATACATGAAACTATGTATTTGAAACGACAATTGACAATGCATTCTCTTATTATATATAAATATATAATGCATTTATAAAGTATTTTTTAAATGGATTTATGTTTTTTACACACCAGAAACACATGTTTAATACATCAGTAAGTACCATATTTTTGCCAATTTAAATAAGCTGGAAACACGTTACGTTTAAATTGAAAATATGACGCCACAACAAATATAATTTGTGTTAGCGTTTACATCGACAATTTGTCTGACTATTTATATCAATTTGCCGAGTTCCAAATTAAGTTTTGTTACAAGTTACTCAGTAGTAACAGACGATAAAGGCCTTGTGTTCGAACATCGGCCATTTGGCTTCACCGTGATAATAGTTTTATTCGATCTCTTACCAGAGACGCTTGAATGATTAGCTTTACAAACAGTCAGCGTTTACAGTTGGACAGTAATATTTGTCAGTGGAATATCCCTCTTTGGTGTATTTGAAAAACAATGGACGTAACGCCTCCTTGAAATTATTCTTTTCCTTAATGATCTCTATGATATCAGTGGTTAATTAGTTCGGCCATTCTTAGTGCATGTTTATAATAATGCAGCAAATCACCAGTGTTTTATTATCCCAAACATTTTTTTTCTCGAGTTTAAGTTTTGATTGAGAACGGCTAATTGGGACCGCCGACAAATCGAGTGCGTTCGGGCTAGAACATTCAAACTCATGATGAATATAATATAAGATATAATATTAAGCACTTGTCTTACTTCGAACATTTGCCTTTATTGATGGTACAATGGTTGACTGATTCCTGATATAGGAACTGATTAACTGCAAGGTAGCACTTATGAGAAACGCAGACATCAGCAACCAGGTTAACACACATCGGAAATTCGGAAATGACGTCATACTGTACAGGAATCACAAGTTTCTGAGAAAGAAAGACAACGTACACAACTAACAACCAAGTAAATCATATTTGTCAAAGTGCTCATCTATTCTGTGAAAGTGAAATATGTTATGTTCATCTTGATGCAATGATCCCGGGACCCGCCGTAGTCGGCAGTATTTTCATGCGAGGTCAATTTCGGATCACCAGGTCATTCTTAGACGCGTAATTAGGTCTGAATCGAGAATCAATTTTGGGTGCCAGAAATCAACCAAAGACGCTTATTTAGGTGTAATTTGCGCTGTCAAGACAAAGTTCAGGTTAATAAAATAAGATTGACGATTGAATTATCCCCTAATTGCAACAATTTAAGTCGGTCAATGTCACTACTGGACGTCGCTTCAAAAAATGATAAAGCCGTGCGAAGTCCTTGCAACGCATCCGATGCTGTAGGTGGGTGAATGTTTTGTTTGTCGGCTATACCATCGTCTTCGTCTCCGTCAACGACTACCTCAATCGAGTCATTATCACATTAATTATGTCGGTAAAAGCATCACCAACTCCTTTCAGTTCCCGCAGACCGTTCTTGAAGAACGTTATCAATGCCATTATTGTCGGATAATTTTGCACGTTTTCTGTTCAGTCCCACCTGCACAATGCAACGAAACATTAGTTATTTTACATCAAAACTGCCGTCAAAAGACAATAGTATTGTTGGGAGCCATCCAACTACCTGCGACTTACTGAGGCACAATAAGAGTAGATAGATAAATAAAAGAATAGATTAAAATAATAAAATAAAACAGTAGGCATTTTTTAAAAAAGCTGTGAAAATTAAACCGCCGTTGACGCGAAACAAGGCTACAAAGTAAACTGTCGTTGCCGCGCAACGAGGCTTAAAAGTTGCCTCGCAACGGAGCTAAAACGTTGACTCCGATTTTCAACCCCTAAATCACAACGTGCATTGCAAACAGGATGCCAGAAGACGTCGACACGACTTTTCTCGTAAGGAAGACCTCGATGAATTATTCCCTAGTTTATGTGCTCAACGTTCTGGAAAAAAATCGCTCAAAACCTAAAAACAAGTTTATTGGTCTCTTGGCGACCGCAAACACGTGGCAACATAGGTTTTATGTTCTGGCATTGATTGAAAGCGCCAAATTTGTTCCAAGTACTGCGGATAAGGAACAATTAAAACTTGCTGGTTTAGGTGAGGAGAAAACAAAAGCGGCGATCACGAGTATCTCATGAATACAATATATTCTGAATTTCCAAAGCTGAGACATACTATGGGATTCACAAGTTGGATCATGTGGCAAAATACCAAAACGCTCTTTGAACTCAAGCCGTCTTTATATGGATATTTGCTGAAGTTTCTCAGAAGGGATTCTATACTAGAATCAGCTGTTGCCTATGTGAAGCCATTACAAGAAATCATTGAAACCTGAACCTCCACTGATGCACTAGCATCATGCCTAATTAGCATAAAATTGTAGTAAGTTCTGTAAAAGTATGATTTTATTGTCGTTTTGATGCTCGTTCATGTGATGTGATAACATCATGTGATAACAAGTTTATCACCTGATATCGCTAGTTTATAGAGCTGGTTGATATGAGT